GACATTAGGAGTGACTGAAGAAGAAGCATTGATATGAGATGTTTTACTCTCAAAGGGATCAACGATTCCGCTGCCATTTACTAAGAAAAATGGCAAAGGATTTGTGGTGCTCTCAACTTGAATTTTGTTTGCCTGATTGGTTACGTTCTTCTTGAGCTCCACCATTGAACTCCTAAGTTGTTCAAGCTCATGCAAGCCAAGCTTGTCTATTGGAGCTTCCCACCAATATTGTCTTTGACTAGCTTTTCTCATGTGATCAAAGGTTTCACCTTGTCTTTTCATGACTTCCAATTCATTGAGAACTTGAGTAAGTTGTAAGTTGAGCTCGCGCACGCTAGCATTACAATGAGCCTCAATAAGGTGGCGTGTGGTGGTGTTAGGTGGAGGGTTTCGAATCAAGAATTGATCAATGATAGAATCCACGTTAGGGTGGCCGAAAGAATAGACTTTACCAGCTGGAGAGAAAACTATGATAGCAATCTCTACGCCACAAAGCGTGCAAAGTTCGCTTGCCGCCTTGAAAAGCCCGGATCGGCGTTTTGAGAAGGTGGCTTGCAAGCGATTTTTGATCTCTATTTTTGCAATTTTGATCTTTTGGCGCCCCATGCTTGGTTTCTTTGCCATGGCTAAAACTGTTGAAGAACTCTTCTCTTCTCACAAGAGAGGAAACAAAAAAAAGAATTCACATTTACTATGGAGATGTTTGGATGAAACATGAGCAATTTAAAGGGGCTTGGAATTTACCCATAAAGATTGCCAATATAATTGTGATTTGAGGTTTTCATTACTAGTTTATTAATATACTTATTTGGGAGATATAAAATCTTATGCTGTTAATGCATGAGATTTTTTAAAAACTGATGCTCTTAATGCATGAGATTTTTTCATCTATTCAAAAGAAACTTACTAGTATTCATCTTGAAGTCAACTAATTGTTTTATATTTGACAATTGTTATTGGTTTATACCTAAAAAAAATAGAGGTTGGTTTGTACTCTACCTACTTATAATGCATAAACTCTAAAAAAAAATTATTTATGTATACAAATTTATTAAAGGGAAAACTAAAGTTTCAAAATCAACAGCTATTGCTACCATTGAAAATTAAAAGATATAATTGAACATTGGGATTATATACAAAATACATGGAAAATTAAAATATGTCAAAATGAATTTGAGTTATAAAAGAAAAATACTATCCACCATTTCAAGAGAGGAAGACAGGAAAAGGGGAAATATAAATAAAAAAATAGGGCAGAAAAGCTCAAGAAACTGCTAAAAATATCAGGTAATTATAAGGTTTTGTATTACTTGGAAAATCATAAATTGTTGAATTAGAACTTATATATTATTTGTAACGTTTGTGATTTGATTAATTAACAATAACATTATGACCATGTGCCAATTTATCATTTATTGATTTTCCCATGTAAAGCTTCTATTACTAACTCTGGCCAATATAATTGTGTTTTGAGGTTTTGATTACTAGTTGATACTGATTTGAGAGTTATAAAATCTTATGCTCTTCATACGGGAGATTTTTTAAAAACTTACGCTCTTAATGCATGAGATTTTTTCATCTATTCAAAAGAAACTTACTAGTATTCAGCTTGAAGTCAACTAATTGTTTTATATTTGAAGGTTGGACAACTTGTTATTGGTTTAGGGTTTGGTTATGGTGTGCAACTTACACCTTACACTTTATACCTTACACTTACACCTTACACTTACACCTTTTGTAAAAAATTAAACCTTACACTTACACCTTTTTTGAGGTTGCACACCATGTGCAACCCACTTACACCTTACACCTTACACTTACACCTTATGCTTATACTTACACCTTACATTTACACTTTTTGTGTAAGTGGCACATGGTGTGCACTTGCACACTTAAGAAAACTCCATTGGTTTATTCCCCAAAAGAAATAGTGGTTGGTTTGCACTCTACCTACTTATAATGCATAACGTTACAAATAATATATAAGTTCTAATTCAACAATTTAATGATTTTCCAAGTAATACAAAACCTTTACGTTGCCAACATCGACTTTTATTTATATTTCCCCTTTTCCTGTCTTCCTCTCTTGAAATGGTGGATAGTATTTTTCTTTTATAACTCAAATTCATTTTGACATATTTTAATTTTCCATGTAATTTTGTATATAATCCCAATGTTCAATTGTATCTTTTAATTTTCAATGGTAGCAATAGCTGTTGATTTTGAACTTAAGTTTTCCCTTTAATAAATTTGTTAACATAAATATATATATATTTTTTTACTTATGACCATGTCTCAATTTATCATTTATTGATTTTCCCATGTAAAGCTTATATTACTAACTCTGGCCAATATAATTGTGTTTTGAGGTTTTGATTACTGGTTTATTAATGTACTAATTTGAGAGTTATAAAATCTAATGCTCTTAATGCATGAGATTTTTTAGAAACTTATGCTCTTAATGCTTGAGATTTTTTCATTTATTCAAAAGAAACTTACTAGTATTCATCTTGAAGTCAACTAATTGTTTTATATTTGACAATTGTTATTGGTTTATACCTAAAAAAAATAGAGGTTGGTTTGTACTCTACCTACTTATAATGCATAAACTCTATAAAAATATATATATATATATATTTTCTTAGAATGAAACATAATTATATATATATATATATATATTTTCTTAGAATGAAACACAATTATGATGCAAAACAAATTATAGATCCCATATGTGGGTCCCCACGAAACACACCCTTTGTCTACATATGTAGGTTTCCCATATGAGGGTGAGGTTTCTCTTTTTTTAATTTGACTGTCATGTTCAGCTGGTAAAAGTCACAATAATATTTTTGTTTTATCACGTTTGCTTTTAAAAAATTAAACAGTAAATATACTTTTAAAACTTGAATAAAACTGAACCCATGATTATCCTGTATAGTTAGATTTGTTTATAAGAATAACGATAAATTATGTAAATAGCCTATGTAATTTTTATGATGTGTTAATTTGTTTGATTTTATCTTTTAATTTAATAGATTGTGTCATTTTAGTCCAATAAATAACGGTTGTTAAGTTTGGTGGACGGAAAGCCTATACAATATGTCAATTTGGTCTCTGTTATTTTAATTTGCTTGATTTTGACAATTATAAAAACCAAATTGACATATAATTTGACTTTTCGTCTCCTAAACTTAACAATCATTATTTTTAGACTAAAATAACACAATTCAATAAATGAAGGAATAAAATTAAATAAATTAAAATAATAAAAATTAAATTAATACATCGCGTAAATTATAAGAATTATTTATATAATTTACTCTTCAAAATAAATAATAAAAAATTTTCATTTGAGTCATCAACTGGTTCTAGTAGCTTTTTGACAAATGGGAATGTGGAATTGTGTGCTTGTGAAAGTCCAAGCCACGTGTGTAAGTTGGTTTTAATTTATGAATCTTGATTGTAAGTGTTACAAATAGGTTTGATAGTATATTAGGTTTTGACTTTTTAGTTTAGGCCCTTTGATCTCGTGAATTTTCTGTATTAAGTTATGCTTTCAAAATATTAGTGGAGATTCTCCCTTAGTAGAGTGCACCCTTAAGTTAGAGTGATGCTGGATTTCTTTAGTGATTAGGCATCTTTAGTGTCACATGATACACTGGTAGTGACTGAAGTTCAAAGGTATGTTACGTTTGTGTGTGCTAGACCTCAAAGGTAACTAGGATGGTCATCTACCTTTGTTAGAGTTCGCATATAATAACAACTACCATGCAAGTATTGGAATAGCACCGTACGAGGCACTGTATAGAAGAAGATGTTAATAACCTCTGTGTTGGATGGAAGTCGGAGACAGAAAATTATTAGACCCCGAGATCATGCAAATAACGAGCGATAAAATTCAATTCATTCAGTAGCAAATTCGCACTGCCTAAAGTCGCCAGAAAAGCGATATAAGTTGCTTTGAACTTTTAATTTTACTCTTTTTCTTATTGCAAATTTTAACTTTTACTTAAATAAGAAATATAGATAAAAATAAGTCTTCAATTCAAGGAATGTGGAAAGTAGAGGTGTTGAATTGTGAAAAGTAGAGGTGTTCAAAATCCGATTTACCCGCTCAACTCCACCAAACCGACCTGAAAATTAATGAAACGGGCTATTTCGCATCACCAGCCAGTCGGCTAAGGGTGTAAATCAATAATGATTCATTCCATTAAAAATATCACCACTAATAACACTAATGCATTAAAAAAAAAAAAAAAAAAAACACAACTCCAAAATCAAAACATCACATCATTTATGACGGGACCCACTACCACCTAATTAGTGAGAGCACTAATTAGTGGGAGCAAGTATTTTTCGGCTGTAAATTAATAAAATTTTCGAATAGTAGGTCAATTATTGGGTTTTGCGAGAAATTCACCCATTTGATCAGAACCGAACGAATTTTAATAATTACAAAATCTTCCCATATAGATGGCAAGGTTTTGTTGCATATATAATATTATATTTTATTTTCATCATGGTTTTTCTGCACTCTTTCTCATTAGATCAAGAATTGATTGCATCAATATGATGAAAAGTTTACTGAGTCTGTACCATTACGTCTCTACACACTCTCTCTCATCAAATCAGCATGTGATTATAAATAGATTAAAAATAAAATAAAGACGAATTGCATCTGTATCTATGCATTATGACTCTACATTCTCTCTCATAAAATCAAAAAATTTGTTACAATCTTTATCTATGTCATAATTGGAAAAAAGCTTCATACCCCCACTGGGGGTCGACCCCCGTGAGGTGTCGGTCCGGATTGGTCCAAAAAAAAAATTGTTTTTTTTTTTTTTTTTTTTTTTTATAAGTTTTCAGCCAGTGGGGGCACGCCACGTCACTGGGGGCGCGACCCCCACTGGGTGTATGGATCACGGCTGGTCATAATTGCCTTACATTCTCCCTCAAATTAAGAACTCTGATTACGTGAATATAGAAATATATCTATATAATAAGGCACAAAGCTTTTTGAAAAATGTATCAAAATGTATGTGAGATACATTTTGATCCAAGGGTTGAGATCAATTCCAAATATATATCAATGGTTGAGATCAATGGTTGGAGAGAAGCATTTCCCGCCCAACACATTTCTGTCTCCCCCATACCCTCTGTCTCCCCCATACCCTCTGTCTTCTTCCCATTCCTACTCTCTGATGAGATGTGAAGGTTGACAGAAAAGCACATACGAAATTGATTTGAGAAGGTTGGAGAGAAGCACAACATTTTATTGAATTCAAACAGAGGTGGGCTGAATTCAAATTCTAACAGAGGTGGGTTGGAGAGAAGCAGGTTGGAGAGAAGCAAATTCTGCACAGTTATTGAACTCAAAATCAAAAGTTATTGAATCCATATATGCTGGGTTCTTATGCACAGTTATGTTTCGGGTTCCTTTCCTTTCCTCTCTTATGTTTCGGGTTCCTTTCCTTTCCTCTATTATATGCACAGTCAATCGATTCATATATGCTTTCTCTCATTTTTATTCTCTCATTTTTGTTCTTCTTCTTGAATTTTTTTTTCCCCTCAGCTTTTGCCTTCATCAGAGCTTACCGTTGTTTACTCTGGCTCCAAGTGAAACTCGGCTGCTCGGCTGTTCTTGATTAACTCGGCTGCTCGGCTGTTCTTGAAACTCGGCTGTTCTTGATTAACTCGGCTGCTCGGTAATGTGAAACATACACTTAATGATACATGCTGGTTTTGCTAATCTGATGCTTGATGATGATCAATGTACTCCAGTGTCCAACATTCTGCACAATGTACTCCAAAAATTCTCCAAAAATGTACTCGGCTGCACAAGAATTCTGCACAATGTACTCCAAAAAATGAAACCAATCTGATGCTTGATGATGATCAAGCGTAGAAAAATGTCTCTCAACTGATTAACTCGGCTGATTTTTCTATGCTTGATGATGATATACTCCAAATAAATTTTTCTATGCTTGATGATGCTTGATGCCAATTGAAACCAATGATGATAATATACTCCAAATAAATTTTAATATACAAAATTCAGACATGTCTCTCAGTTCTGTGCTTTGCTCTTTCTCTCTCACTCTCTTTCTTCATGACAATTGAGTTTACAAGAGTTTACAAGAGTTTCATTTTTTTGGAAATGTTTACAAGAGTTTCATTTTTCATTGTAATTATACAAGAGTTTACTGCAACTGGAGTTTACAAGAGTTTCATTCTTTTGCTGGAAATGTTTTGGTGTGTAGTCGGTGACACAATACAACTAGAGTTTACAAGAGTTTCCTGATCAATCATGTTTCATATGGATTCATTTCAGGATTTTTCTGCACGTATCTGACCAGGATTTTTCTTTGGGATTTTTCTTTGGGTATCTTTTTAATGATTTCAATTATTTCCTTTTATAGTAGATTGGTTAATCTGATGCTTAATAGGATACAATTTTTCTGATGCTTAATAGGATACAATAGGATATGGTTAATCTGATGTTTATGTTTCACCAAATATTTTGGATATGCGTTGCTTTCATTAAAAATGGTTAAAACAGATCTTTAGGATAGGTGTGGATTTTTTTAGAAAGATTTGATGAAATAAAAGAGAGTAAGGTTTGAGTGTTCCATATTAGATCAAGCTTTTATTTGTATCTCAGTTAACCAAGATTGGCTACAAGATTGTAGATGTTGTTTTAGATCTTATTGCAGGTGCATCTTATTATCATTCTTCACTGTTCCTTTCTTCCCTGTTTGTGTTTATGTTTATATTGGGTCAATGTATTCCTGTGCATATACGACACAATTTAATTATTATCATTATTCACTGTTCCTTTCTTCCCTGTTTGTGTTTATGTTTATATTGGGTCAATGTATTCCTGTGCATTTTCATGGTAGCTTCTCTTCCATGAATTTCTCTAGAAATATCAATGTTAAATTTATGTTACTTGGGAAATTCATTTTTGTCAGAGGAATCTGGTTTGTTAAATGATTGAACAACCAGAAGCAATTCTTCAATTTTTGCATTAGTGCTTTTTCTCAAGCATCAGACTAACCAATCTAAATACTTTTAGGATACAATTTAAAATTTGATCATTAAAGTATGGAGTAAATTTGATCATTAACGTATGGAGTAAATTGTATCCTTTTAGGATACTTTTAAAATTTAAAATTTAAAATTTTCTCAAGTCTGGAGTAAATTTGATCATTAAAGTATTTAAATACTTTTAGGATACAATTTAAAATTTATAGGATACAATTTTCTATCGTAAAATATATTTATGATCATTAATAGGATACAATTTATACGATACAATTTAATTATTATCATTATTCACTGTTCCTTTCTTCCCTGTTTGTGTTTATGTTTATATTGGGTCAATGTATTCCTGTGCATTTTCATGGTAGCTTCTCTTCCATGAATTTCTCTAGAAATATCAATGTTAAATTTATGTTACCTGGGAAATTCATTTTTGTCAGAGGAATCTGGTTGTTAAATGATTGAACAACCAGAAGCAATTCTTCAATTTTTGCATTAGTGCTTTTTCTCAAGCATCAGATTAACCAATCTAAATACTTTTAGGATACAATTTAAAATTTGATCATTAAAGTATGGAGTAAATTTGATCATTAACGTATGGAGTAAATTGTATCCTTTTAGGATACTTTTAAAATTTGAAATTTAAAATTTTCTCAAGTCTGGAGTAAATTTGATCATTAAAGTATTTAAATACTTTTAGGATACAATTTAAAATTTATAGGATACAATTTTCTATCGTAAAATACATTTATGATCATTAATAGGATACAATTTATACGATACAATTTTCTATCATACAATATATCATAAAATTTATACTTGAGATTTTAAAATTTTCTACAAACAGAGGTGAGATTTTGATCATTAATAGGATACAATTTACAATTTATAGGATACAAAATAGGATACAATAATATATTTAAATACTTTTATATTTTGATCATTAAAAGATAGGACTCCACCATTTCGTTTCATTTACTCCAGACTTGAGATTATAGTAGATTGGTTAATCTGATGCTTTAGTTTATGATTAAGAAAATATTGATTAAGAATATTTTCTTAGTTGATTAAGAACTTCAAACAGAGGTGTTAGAGGTTGAAAAACATATTTTGAAAAACATGATGATGTTTACCGCTGTGACTTTCTATTTTGAAAATGGTCCCCTCGCAGAATGGTGTTAGAGGTTGAAAAATGTGACATATTTGGCACAATGACATCTGGAAAAATGTGAGTTGAAAAACATATTTGGCACATAGTATTTTAATGATTAAGAATAGCATTTTAAGAAAATATGATTAAGAAAATATTTATACCAGCATATATGATTAAGAAAATATTCACATATATTTTCTTATCATCAATGTAAAATATTCACATTAACAGCATATATCATCAATGTAAAATATTTATACTTAATGACTACCAGCATATATCATCCGGAGTGAAGTTCCCCTTGCACCCAATGACTACTCAGTAATATATTTTTAATGAGTAAAAATGTATGTTATTTTAAGTATGAATGTTCATTTATTTTATTTACTTAGTTTCACATGGTTGCGAAAGTTCATTTATATATATAAGTATGAATGTTCATTTATTTAAGTATGAATGTTCATTTATTTTATTCACTTAGTTTCACATGGCTCCATGTATCTCCTTGCACCCAACAATATCACTTATTTTTTAATTGAAATCAGGAACTTCAACTTGAAACAGGACTTTGCTCGGCTGCTCGGTTAGTTAATCAGGAACTTGGAGCCATAAAAAATAAAAAGCTCGGCTGCTCGGTTAGTTTATTGCTTTGGTAACGTTTGGGTGCAGCTTCTATTATTGTTTTGCTTTGATATTGAGCCAACTGTGTTTTCAAAGAATTCTGCTCAATGTGTTTACTGAGAAGAATTTTAATTGTCCACTGTTTTCAAAGAATTCTGTTTTCAAAGAATTCTGCTCATTTAGAAGAATTCTGCACAATGTGTTTTCAAAGCAGAATTTCTTATCACCAAAATCACCAAATTCTGCTCAATGTATAGCGATCCCGGGTTTACCCTTGTATGTATAGTGATCCGGAATGTGTCCGTGGATGTTGGTAGGTTGCTTATTATCTTGTTGTTTACATCCTTTCTTACTTTGTATTTGAGTTATAGGATGTGTTGAGCGGCGTTTGTTACAGGTTGGTTTGAGTTTTAGAAACCAAAACTTAGTTGCCCAGATTTTTGGCCTGTCCGCTCGAGCGGGAGTGTTGGCCGCTCGAGCGGGGAATACATCCATCCAGTATCTTGTTGTGCAGTGTTGTTGAGCTCGAGCGTAGGTTGGGAGCTCGAGCGTAGGTCTGTTTCTGCAAAAGTGCTGAGCGAGTGCATTCTGCGCTCGAGCGGGAGGTTGGCCCGCTCGAGCGTAAGTCTGTGAGTGGCCGCTCGAGCGGGGTGTTTTACGCTCGAGCGTAGACCTGGGTTAAAGACCTCGAAGTTGTGACTTTCCAAATCACTTTTTTGCTTTCTCTTCTTCTCTCTTACTTTTCCAAAAATCACCATTGTTGAGCCTCTCACTCTAGATACTACCTTCTCTCTAGGTTTTTGATCTTAATAGGAGTGATTTACTTCACCTTTGGCCTTCACAAAAGTTTGTGTTGATCGTCGAGGGCTTCCTTTTGATCTGAAAATTTGAGGTTTGGAGCATTTTGGTTTTTGGTCTTCATCTCCTTTGGGGCTCCGAAATTTGAGGTAGGGATAACCTACTCCCTTCTATGGGTTTTGTCTTTAAATTTTGGTATTTTGAGATGTTGGGCTTGGTTTGGTAATTCTTGTAAAGGTTTGGGGCTTTTGTGTAATTTTACAAAGGTTGGGGGTTTTATTCATAATAAACCTAGATGCATGTTGGCATAGAAAAAATGGAATGATTGGTTGAATCATTTTGATGAAAAATGGGACCTAAGGGTTGAAATGGTAATTTATGGAAATGTTACCTAAATTAACATTGTTTAATTAATGGGATAATTAATTGATGAGAAAAAAAAAAAAAAAAAATGAGGAAATGAAATTGTTGACTGAATACTCCCATTGTGCATTTATTCTTCGTGTTAATTAGAAATAACTGCTTTGGGCTATCGGTGGAGGATAGTCGCTGATGTTGTTGTAGACAATGTATGTTGATTTAGGCAAATTGAAACTAATCAATGAAGTTGTTAATGAAACTTGACAGTTGCTGAATACATTAATTGTTTGTTATTGTGTTGATTGTATATAGAACCAATGGCTTTATATACGTGTGATGTAGAGGAGAGGAGAGTAGGGGACCTGTACTCCCGCGTTTAAGGGGAAGATTAACGACCGGGATGGACCTCTAAACCGGATAGGTATTTGAGCAAGATTAGGGGATGATTACTCCGTAGACAGAGCTCCTATTGTATGCGCTTGTCTAGAAGAAGTGAAGATAGAGTCTTCATATTGCTATCTTGTGAAGTATTGAAGTGTGGATACAGCTTGTATGCTTATCTGTGGATATTGTTGATATTACATTAATCGTCTGAGAGTGTGGATACAGCTTGTATCGCCTTATCTGAA